CACTTGTTGTAGGTATATTTTTAATCTGAGGAAATATGATAATATATCCTTTGACATTAATGAACTTAAGTGGTTAAAAGTTAATAATTTATTTCAGCTACATTTTCTAACTTTCTTGTACCGTTTATTTAAAAATAGGATTCCTTTATACTTGTTTGAAAAGGTAATTTTTAGAAATGCCGTCCAAAATTGTAACATCCGATTTAATATTCTTACCATGCCACACCATTCTACTGCACTGTTTGAGCGTTCTTTTATCTATAATTTAGTTAAGTTTTATAATTTGTTTCAGCATCTTATGTATCTACCTTCAATTAACAATTTTCGTTACACTATTAAAAATATTCTCCTTAACAGGCAATAAATAATTGTTTTCTGAACATTTAATTTAAATTCTATTTTATATTTTTTACTTAATTACTATTGTTTGACAACTCTTTTAATGCTTTTGTCCATTTCTAACTACTTTTTTCATTTATTTTCATTTTCTTTTGCAAACCAAGAAGGTTAAGAGTTAAAGAGTAGCTTCAGCTAATCTTCGCCTTCTTGGATGTAACAATTTATTTAATAAAGACATTATTTATTTTATTTATTTATGTTTATCTAAAATTGATTAGTCTTTTTTATGATTTTGTCCTGTTTTTTTTGTCCTGTTTTTTTAAAACAATAATTACAAAAAATGTATTTCCTATATTATAATAAAAGAAACAATATTATCAAATTGTAATGGAAAAACTTCTTTAACAAATTTAATTTATAATTCATTCATTTTATAAAAGCACGATACCTTTTTCTGTATGCCTTTGTTTTTAACGAGAATTCTATGGACTAATAAATCAAAATATAGTAATAATAATAATAATAATAATAATAAACGTCTTTATTTATATACAGCGTACATATAAAAGGGCGAAGTTCAGCTAAAAGCTGTTTTTCAACTTAACCCACAAAAAAGAATACAAATCGAAAAAACAAGTCATAAAAAAACAAATTAAAAGCTAAAAAAGAAATTATAAGCTAAAAAAAAAAAACATTATGTATATATAATAACATCCATAAGCCACTATATATGAATTGAACTGAAAATTAAAATTCAAGCAGGTACACGAACCAAAAACCGAATTGCCAAGTCTGTTTTTATCAATAAGGACGATTAGGGAAGGGAATGAACATAAAGTTTAATTTTCTTTTTAAAGTTGTAAATAGTATAGTTTTTATATTCTGGGGGAATGCTGTTGTATATTTTACAAGCCGCATATGAAAAACTACGCAAAAATATTGCGGACTGAAATCGTGGTAATATCAGTAATTGTTTGTTTCGTGTACCTCTATTATTTTGATTTTGAAAAAATTTAAACCTTCGGAACAGATAAGAGGGTTGTTTTTTTGTTAATATTTTATGTGTTATATTTAGCAAACTTAAAGACCTTTGTTTATTTAATTTCAACCAACCAATTTCTTTAATCTTGTCACTGATATGGTCAAATTTGCGAAGACCTGTTACGAAACGAGTACAGGAATTTTGTAGTCTTTGAAGCCTGATAATATCTGAATTTAGTAAAGCTGGTCCATACACACAGTCACAATACGATATTTTTGAGAAAATCAGAGCTTCACAAAGTTTTAATTTTAATTTCTTGTTTAAAATATCTTTTTGGGAATAAAGCTGTCTTAATGTGTTATAAGTGGTTTTACAAAGCTGAGATATATGTTTGCTAAACCTCATATCTGAATCAAACCATAAGCCTAAATTTTTTAATTCGTCAACCATCGGAATCGGTGTGTTAATAATGGAGATTTGCATTTCATGTTTCAGTGTTACACGATTAATTTTGTTACCAAATAACATAGCAGCTGATTTCAGTCCATTAAGTTTCAAATTATGAGCACTAGAAATATTTTTTAAGGTCTTTAAATCGGAGTTTATATGTTCCATTGCAAGTATTCTTTGACCGAATTCAAAGGAATAATGTAATTGGGTATCGTCCGCATAATTATGCAGTTTACAAAATTTTGTGTAGTTTTGAAAATCAGCAATGTATGTCATAAATAGGAGTGGTCCTAATATAGATCCTTGTGGAACACCAAATTTTAGTTCCAAAGAATTCGACACATTAGATCCCAAAATAACGGTCTGCGTGCGGTTAGTTAAATAACTTTCAATGAGTTGGGTAGCATTTTCCGTTAAACCATAAAATTTCAATTTTTCCAATAATAGCTGGTGATCCAATGTATCGAAAGCTTTGCTATAGTCCAAAAGTACAAGACAACATATTTCTTTTTTATCGACTGCTTTAAAAATATCATCTGTGATATTTAATAATGTTGTGTTTGTGCTATGCATTTCTCGAAATCCAGATTGGGACGGTGGTATTATACCTTTATTAAATACATAAGAGGACAATTGTACTTTTATAATATGCTCTAGTATTTTAGACATGACAGGAAGGATTCTGTAGGTGAATTAGTTTTAGGCAATGGTAATATATTCGAATGCTTCCAATCGTTAGGAAACTTTGACTTAGAGAGTGCTGTATTGACAATAAAAACAATATGGGACATGAGATAAAAACTGACATATTTTATCATCCTAGAGGATATTTTATCGGCACCAACAGCATTGGTTTTTATTCTGTTTATTGCTTCAGCTACATCTTTTATTTCTACACGGGTAAAATTAAATTCCGGATGCACAGGTTCAGATTTGTACCGATCCAAAAACTGCAGTTGTTCGTTTGTTTTAGCAACCATCTGTACGGAATTAAAATATGAATTTATTTCATTAACATTCCAAAAATCCGTATTAAGAGATTCTCGTTTTTTAGCCTCAATAATATTCATATTGCGCAATGTACTCCAGATAGTTTTAGAATTATTGTCTCTAGAAATAAATTCAATATACGCTTTTTTTTCTCGCCTAATAGCGCCAGTGACATAATTTCTAATATCTTTATAATTTACCCAATCATTATTAGATCTAGAACTTTTAAATTTTAGAAATGCCCTGTCTCGAACTTTGATCATGCGTTTAATGGTTTCGGTGATCCATGGGGTACGTGGCTTACTTACTCGAACAGTACGAATAGGTGCATGTTTATCAAAAAGATTTAAAATATTTTCATTTAAGAATTGCACTTGTAAGTCGACATCATCAAGTTCATAAATTAAATTCCAATTTATTTCTTGAAAATCTTTGTCAAACTCAGTTTGTGTAAAGTTTTTGAAGTCACGAAATGTGATCATTTTAGGAGTAATTTTAAAGTTAGTTTTTTTTATTATACCAAGAGAGCACATGTGATCAGATCGCTTTTTACCCTGCAAATCAAACACCTCCAATTCAGAAATATCCTCTTTATTAGAGACCACAAAACAGTCAGGTAAGGTTTGTGTGGCGGTTGTAATTCGCGTTGGTTCATTTAATAGTTGTACTAAATTGTGGCAATCCAAAAAATTATTAAAAAGTTCTGTTGGCCTACTAGGTGTAAGTGTATTTACATTGAAATCCCCTACTAGTATAATTTTATCGTGAGCGGGAATTAAAAAAGCAAGGCTGTTTTCTAGTTCATCAAAAGCAACTTTCAGATTTTCTTTAGGTGGTCGATACATTACCCCCAAACAATATTTATTATTTCCAAATTTAAAACTGACCCATAACTGTTCCAAAGTATTTGTTATTTTATGTATTAAGACCGAATATCGAAGATTATTTGAGATATATAACCCGATACCACCTCCCACTTTATTTATTCTATCCAATCTCTCGAACGCAAATTGTTGAATAGAAATTGTACTTGTAAAGATATTCGGTTTTAACCATGTTTCTGTAAGACAAAAAATATGGATTTCCTTATTTAAAATACAATCTTTTAATTGCTGTAACTTAGGAACTAGCGATCTTATGTTTAAATGTGCTATTTTAAAATTATTCATTTATTGAAATAATCACACACTACAAAAAATATTCAATTTAAATAATAATAAAATTTGGTTAATATAATATAATTTTTTGGAGTTGATTTGCTTTAGATTATAGTTCAAGTTTAATTATTTTTTTCCTTTATTTCCGCTTCTTGTGTTCTTAAAATTAGATACGGGTTTTTGTTTGTTTTTATCGGTTTCAAGGTTGGAGTTCTTTTCCGCCGGTGGCTGGTTCAGCTTATTCTTAGTATTTGGATGGTACTGATTTTCTTCTTTTTCCTTCTCTTCGTCTGAGCTTTGTTCCTCACTGCTTTCAATATTGTGACTTTCTAATTCTTTCAGTTCTTGTAGTGAATAGGGTTTACCGTTTATAAATAATTTTAAGCCTTTTATTTTTGCCTCGTGATTTTGAAGTCTAGCGTTTTTTAAATGGTATTTTAAGAGTTTTAATTCTTCCCTGTCCTCTTTTAACAAATCATCAGATATTGATAAACCTTTTTCCCTTAGTTTGTTCAATTTTTTGGAATCAAACAATTGGCGTCTCTTTTGATATGATATAAATTGAACTAATATGGGAGCTGTTGCAGCTTTCCCCAATTTATGTATTTTGTTTATATGCTCTTCACGTATATTTGTTTCAAAATTTTCGTTTAAAATGCCAATTGTTGTTTGCGTAATATTTTCTGTTTCTTCTGTATTTATTCCAAATATCACAATATTATTTTCTTTTAATTTCCGCTCTAGAATATTACATTTTTGTTTCAATGATTCGATTTCTCTAGTTGCTTCTCTAGTAGGGAAAATATAACAAATTTTTATAATTTGTACTATTGGACTGAAGATAATCCACATCAGAAGAAACAAAATATTTTCCAAAAAGAACGTACAACTAAGCTTAGTCGATATAAGTTAGCTCAGATTAGTGGTAAAAAGAAAGCGACTATTGAATGAGTGGAACAAAAGTATTAGGGATATTTTAGGAATACAGATGAAACAATAAATGAATGAAAAAGGACGCCTAGATTAAAATGGCATTGAGACGATAACAGAGAAAACATATATTTATTAAGAAAAAAAATTACCTGTACATTGTAGATATCATCCTGAGTGACTTCCATGTTGGCAGATGAAGATGATACAATTTGATTAATGTCTGGTATTAGCGAAAGTAAATCGGAAATCTGCCTAACAACGATACCTAAAAGATCGGTTTTTGTAACTATTTCAATTTAACCACTCAAAATGAAACTTACCAAATGCTCTAGCTAAGCAACTGGCTGTGGTAGCCATAGTAATAGGTTCAGAACTTGCAGCTACAGTTGAACTTCCAGTAGTAGATCTTCTTAGCGAGCTAGGATCTATGAATACTAAATTAGAACCATTTGGTAGACGTACTCCTTGTGATCTACCTGCTTCTCGAGAACGTATTGCCCACTGCATGTTTTGAGGAGCTAAATTAGTTCGTTGACCATGACCAGCAGCGTTACTAAAATAAAGAATAATTTTAGACAATAAAGATATTCAGGGTTATTCATATTTAAACGGACATAGCTTAATGGGAGGTAGAGTACACTTAGCAGAGCTCAAAACACCCCCATACTTAGCCTTTAATCTTACTCGTTTCTGAGATATTTGGTGTTTTATGATTTTTTGCCAAAACTAAAGTCGGCTAGATATTTTGATAAAAGTTTGAACAAAAGTTACACTCGCTTAGGTTAATCAAAGACATAATTTAATTTTAAAAATAATCCAGGACCAGAATCTCTTTTTCTATATTGCTCTTCTTAGCTAGAATATCAGCCTGTATATCGGATTTAGTAATCAAGCAAAATATTTCAGTATCTCCAGAATTATAAACTTACGAAAACTAAAATTAAATAGAAACATGTATGACTTCGAATATGAAATTACCCAAATTAGCATGTCTAGTGAATATTACATTTAAATAGTAGTTTGTGCAACCTGATGGCTATATCGCAAGAAGACGAAATTTGAGCACGACGCCGTAGGCGGAGTGCTCAATCGTCTCAGTGCGATGTGGACAATCCACTAGAGTTGTAACAGTATATTTTTTCTACGACCCACTAACGAAAATTTACAAATAAAAAAAATTTTAGGTTATTGAGACAAAATAACTAATTTTATAATAATTTATATCTTTTAATAATTTTTAAAATAAAATAAACGAAAAAAAAAAAAAAGAAAAAAGTTCATTTCATTTTTCCCCATCCGAGAATCGAACTCGAGTGTTCCGTGGAAGGCAGGAACTGTGACCACCGGATCATCTACTCGTCTATTTTTTTGCTTTAATACTCGTAATTAAATTGACTTCATATAGTTGTATTTAAATTAGCAAATTATTTATAATTATAGACGAAATAAAAACATAAATGCTATTATTTATCGATTCTACACAAGAATGTGTTTATTTTAATTTATGTTTAATCTCAATAACTAAAAAATATACTGACAATTAGACAGAATTGTCTAAATGTTGAAAGAGAATGTCATAAAGGTGAAATTCCTTCTTCTACGGTGTTGTCCATGCAGTTTTAGGTTATAAACGATTTGTCCAACACCTTTTTCACAAATTATTCAAAGCAAGACTATGAAAATTTACAAATAAAAAAAATTTTAGGTTATTGAGACAAAATAACTAATTTTATAATAATTTATATCTTTTAATAATTTTTAAAATAAAATAAACGAAAAAAAAAAAAAGAAAAAAGTTCATTTCATTTTTCCCCATCCGAGAATCGAACTCGAGTGTTCCGTGGAAGGCAGGAACTGTGACCACCGGATCATCTACTCGTCTATTTTTTTGCTTTAATACTCGTAATTAAATTGACTTCATATAGTTGTATTTAAATTAGCAAATTATTTATAATTATAGACGAAATAAAAACATAAATGCTATTATTTATCGATTCTACACAAGAATGTGTTTATTTTAATTTATGTTTAATCTCAATAACTAAAAAATATACTGACAATTAGACAGAATTGTCTAAATGTTGAAAGAGAATGTCATAAAGGTGAAATTCCTTCTTCTACGGTGTTGTCCATGCAGTTTTAGGTTATAAACGATTTGTCCAACACCTTTTTCACAAATTATTCAAAGCAAGACTATGAAAGATATAATCCTGGATTTACAGCTTACAGCATCCAGTTTTAAGATTGATGACAGAAGATAATTTTCACATGGACACTTATTTACCCCAGCAAAAATGCATGTACCTATTCATGTAACATAAAAATAAAGTGGAAATAAATTGCATAATTTGGTATATAAAAACGCACAAAATGTTTTCAGTTTTTATTCCACTACGAGGAAAACATTGGTTCATTCCACTTGTACAATATTGACATTGTGCACGTTAAAAGTAGATCTGTCTGTTTTAATACTATTACTGCAGGCAAACGATAATCGTGAATTTCGCCAAACGAATATCAGAAAAGTGTTGTCAACTTAAGCTGACTACTATTTTCCCTTAGGCTGACTACTATTTCCTCACTAGCCTTAGTCACCCCCTCATCTATTAACTGAGTCTATGACGCGACCCCTTAGATATACCAGCCCTGGTATTACCCAATTTTTTTTGTAATTATTAGTTTTGGTTTTATGAGAATATATTTTTTATTTTTTAAATTTAATCCTTTCAATAATTTTCTTTTAGGTATTACTTCATTACTTTTTAAACTACATCCTAGTATTACATGTTCTAAAGTACCTTCGTCCTCGCATTCGCAGTTCGCGTCATTACAGATTTTTATTTTAAGTTTGTAAGATGGGCTTAATGCATGGTTAAATCTACACAAAGCCGAGACCATCATCTTTTTGCCAGATATGATAGCGAACCGAGGTTTTAGTGGAATGATTGGTTGGATGTTTTTATAATATTTCCCTTTTTCTCCTAATTTATATTGTCTAGTTCACTGGATTTTGATCTTCGGTTTTATAAATGATATTATATCATGTTGTGGATATTTGTAATTTGAAAATTTTGTTTCTTGAGTGCCTAATTAGCTATTTTATCCACTGTTTCATCACCTTTAATTCCACAATGGGCTTCAAGGTGTTATTCACATAGTTGTCAAATTATTATGAGGATTGTTTATGGTTATAATTCGGTATTGAATAAGGCTCTGACAAAATGCATTCAAAATTACATTAAGGAAGTATATTTGCATTCTTAATGCCAGTTATTATTGCGACCGATTTCAATATAATTTTTAATGAAAAACAAACAACTAAAAGTAAAGATGGGCTGTGATGCATACTTAAGATTACCTTACCTTCTTCTTTCCAGTTGTTCATCTGTCAAAGCATAATCTTCGGTGTCTTGTTCATCAGTTTCACCAGCTTCACTTTCCTCTTCCTCTTGTTGTGAAGACTCGCCACTTTCGTCTTCCGGAAATAGTAACATACCTCCTAATAAAAATATTGTTTTGTCTTTGGTTTCATTTAAATTATTTGATTTAAAAATTCAATGTACAGTGAAGTTCAAATTCGGTGAACACTTGCCATTTGGGATATTGCAAACCATAAATCAGTAATAAGTTAACATTCCATTGCTCGGGAAGGTCAGTGTAAGATTATTTTTTCGTTTACCATTGGAAAATTGGTGTACTTGCAAGAGCTGAAGAGGCCGTGTTACAAATGCAAGAATGCGACGCGCGAAAATCAAACAAAGTAGCTGTTTCTTTATATATTTATCATCCTCGTCTTTGAACGAAAGTTATATTGAACTTTTGGGAGCTTTGATAAAAACGAGAAATCAAGTTATAAAAATAGAAACACAAAAGTGAAAAATAGACAGGTACTTTTTTAAATCATGGTAGTGAATTATTATTGTTATTTTGTTTCATAGTTTCCTAAAAATTAAAGTTATAGAGGAAATAATAAATTTTATTATAAATTATTAATCTCTAACATGGCGCTAGTTTGCACGAAATTTGAAACAGACGTGTTCTATTGACAATGCACTGGTTCAATATAGTTGTATATCAGGCATCATACAACCTCAAATCATAATTCAGTGCATACCAATGGAAAACGGTATAAGTTTTCTCATTATCATAATCCGATCCTCAATTATTACACTGAGGTGTGGACGTATATTTGCCCCACTATGTGGCGCTTTCATCAATATCAAACAACACAGGGAAATTTAAAAACATGATAATAAAGGTTGTAAAAATATCGATTGCCTTTTCATGTTCTGGTAAATAAATTTAAACAATGTTAATTACGGTAAATTATTTATTAAAAAGAATACTACACTTACAGTCTAATATCGATTAATTATTGTAAATCTATTCATGACAAACATTTTTTTAATTTTTGATTGTTATGAAAAAAAAGTGTACTAAAAAAGTTTCACTGGCTTCCTACCATATTCGTTCCGTGCGCGACAGCAGCGCCAATTCGTTTTGGTATTAATGGACTATTTCTGCGTATACTGACAAATGCATTTTTTAATAGAATTCGTAATTAAAAGGTATATATGTTAGTTTTAATAAAAGTATATGGATTTGTAAAACAAGTAAACATTAATTTATTATTATTATATATTTTTATCTCTTAAATTAAAGAAAATTATGTATAATAAATAAAAATGAATAATAAAATATAGGCAGGCAACAGTATTTACTGGAAAATGTATGAAAAGTTGCCTAAGTCTAATAAGTTTTCATTAAAGAATTATTCTGTCAAAATAAAAAAATACCATTTAATAAGAGCGTGAAGTTAAAATGTATAAAAAAAGGATCGTTATTTATATTTTAATTTTTGTTGGAAAGAAAACATAGAATGAATGATTAAAACTGGTTTCCCATCAGTAAGTTACAAAATTGTATTCCAGCCACATATAATAATAATAATCAAATGCAGAAATCTTGAAATCTAGTCCTTGCTGAATGAACATTTAAGAATAAAGGGATATTAAAGAACATCGTAAAATGATAATTTATTGTTTATTTAAAACCTTTCAAGTTTCTGATGTCTACTATTTCCAGCATTACTGTTATTATTACAAAAATAAAGGTAATTTTTCTTCTTATTGTACACCTATCCATTTATTTCTTTGATTTAATTTCCACTTTGCTACTGAAATTTTTTATATAAGTTTGACTGTTTTTTTTTTTGCTAGTATTTGTACAATTTTCAACACAGCAACTCCGGTTGCTTATTGTATTGTTTTCACCTACTTTTTTGAAAAAAAGTAAAATGTATACGTGTATTTGATATGCCAAAATTACAAAATATCGCCCTAAAATGCACGAATTATCCGCAGCGAGCGCTAGTATCGCTTTTGCTTCCCTTTCCATGACTTCGCACGGAGCGAATAGAATCGATGACAATTAGGCATTCCAACGACCTGTCCAAATGGCTACCAGCGGGTAATGACAGTTTAGATATGGCAACCCTGTTGTCATGTTGATTAAAAGGCTCAATGATACATATATAGTTATATAGATTGCTCAAAGCTGGTCGTTTACGAGCCGCCATATTGCCTGGCAAATATTTATTAATTTGAATCGGTTTGCAAAAATGTGTTTTAAAACCAATTTTTAGCCTTTAGATATTTAAAAAAAAATAATTGCTTACATTTTTACTTCAAGGCATAAGCTTGTTTATTTTGAAAAATATGGATGATCAATCTATGTAACTATCTATTTCATTGACCTTGTCAAATCACCAGGCCTACAGGGTTGCCATATCATAACCCGTCAGAACCCACTGGTAGCCATTCAGTTTGGAATGCCTAATTGTTTAAAGGTAACAATGATATGGGGTAATCGTCGTAGCCAACCGAACAGTTGTAAGGCAAAGATAAGAGTGAGATAGCAAAGTGTTTGAAAAATTATTAGATACAAAAGTCCCGCGCTTTTTCGCGCATGAGTAATGCGAAATTGTCGAATAATGGGAAACGTGCATTGACATTTATTTTTACAAATACTACTGTCTGTCTACAAACGCGTGTACTTTTAATTTTAATCGTTGCTGCGGTGTTGCGTTTTCTATCTTTTAAGTCCCCTTTTGGAATAAAATCTAGTACGGTTTTTACAGTTGCCAAACTTATAAAAACTGGCGTTACATTTTAATTTATCCCCACAGATGTCGTAAAAATGTACTATTTCAAAAATGTTAGTGGGCTTCGTAAGGTTGCAATATGTCTGCATATATACAATAGTTAGTTCATGCATATCAACTGTAGAGGGCTTGTATATATACGTACGATCCTCAGGGGTCAATTCTACACTACCGATTATATGAAGCCTTATGATTTGGCAGCATTGGAGCTGAGTGATATAAACGCTGAAATTATGGAATGTTCTATTAATGAAAACGAGTGCTGTTTAGAATGGATTAATGATTTGATCTTTGCTGGTCATTAGGTTAAGAAAAAATATAAAATATTTGTCAATCATACTACATATCACACTTGTAAATATTTATTTAAACCTATAAAGAAAACAAATCTAAAGAGATGTGTTATACTTTAAAATTTTACAAGTTTTATTTGAACAAGCTTATACAGGGTGTAACAAATTGATGTACAGTAAATTTAGTCTGGGATCGAAAATAATTTGATGTAAGCTAACTTGCTTAAGTACATTAAAAATGGATAGTAAAAAAACTTACAATTGGAACTTTAGGAGTGATTTTTTGGTCTTACTAGAAAACGGCTTAACATATTTTTATGAAAATGTCATGTATACTGTGACCCATAAAATGAGCCAATGGCGCTCAAAATTGTTTTGTAATTTTTTTTAGACAATAAAATTTAGTTAAAAAGAGGACTCCACTGAATTATAAGCCCCTCAAAGAAGACAAAACATTCAGAATGACATTTTTCTATAGATCTTAAACCATAGAATATTTTTTTACGATATTTTTTATTATTTTATAACTTCACCTACAATTCTTCTCTTGTAATATCAATCATCTATAAAGCTGTAAAATAGTAAAAAAAGCGGTAAAAAATATTCAGTAAATTATTAGAAAGATGTCATTGTTTTTCTCACTATGACCTTCCTTCAGGGGCCTACAACTCAGTAAATAAGGCTTGCACTAACAAAATACTAGGAGGAAAAATTCAAAATAGATATAGGATTTCAGTGACGTTCTGTTTTTAACTAGATTTTATTGTCTGAAAAAGTAGGGGAAGGGGGTCAAAGAGGTGCGGAACCCTTCTAAAAACTTTAGAATTAAAACAATTTTAAACGCAACTTACTTTATTGTATTGGTCTTTGGATACTTACAACCCATGTACATTTTCATAAAAATATGTTAGGCCATTTTGGAGTAGGAGCAAAATATCACTTTAGAAATTTCAACTTTAACATCCTGTGACAATTTTACTATCAATTTTATATACAGTATTGTAATGTGAGCCATTTTATTATTCAGTCATGCTCCAACCCTCCAAGTCCCTCTCTGTCTTATTTGGCCTTTGAGGCTCAACTTGTCCGATTATCATACATAATTAAACCCCTTAAGACCAAACATATGTGACGATTATGGCGGAGGTGCTTTCGAGACCTTTCCAGATAAAACGTGATGTTTCTAGTTTTGTCGAAGAACATTCTACAACATTCCGGATATTTTGGTCGATGGGCATTCTAGACCACCAATTTGTATATAAATATTGGTGGAGGTGAACGCTGTGTTAGTTATTATATGGACAATGAATATAAATAGTGAACAGTTTCGAGACATTAGAAATATATATAAATTAGAATAATAGTGTTATAAATAAGTGTTTAAATAAATTATTAATAAATAAACTGTTGTTTAAAATAAACAAACATCACATTGGTGTCGAGAAGTGGAATAGTGTAAATGAATAGTGGACAATCATGGCTAAAAGACTGTGAATTAAAAGTGACTGAGCTACGTCGAGAGTTAGAAGATCGCGAGTTGAAGACGACAGGGAAGAAGGTAGAACTGGCAGAACGTTTTAAGGAAGCACTAGAAAATGAAGGATTGGATCCGGAAACGTATCTATTTTCGGATGATGCATCTTCTGCTATTATTTCTTCAATTTCATCCGATTTGGAAACTAAAATGTCTTCCATAGAAAATAAAATTTCTTCTGATGTTTATTCTATAAAAAGTGATATTTTCTGCTTAGGAACTAAAGTTTCTTCCGATATATCCTCCTTGGATGATAAAGTTTCTTCTTTAGAAAGTAAAGTTTCGTCCGATATTTCTTCCTTAGAAGAAAAGGTGACTTCTGACATATCTTCTTTAAAAATCGACATTTCTCCCGATTTAGAAAACAAAATCTCTTCTTTGAAAGATGAAATTTCTTCTGATATGTCTTCGCTAAAAAATTAAATGTCTGCTGATGTGGAAAATAAGATGACTTCCGTTGAGGAGAAAATAATGTCTTCCGTTGAAGATAAAATAAAAGAGATGGAAAA